ATATATCCAGGCTCTCCTATCTAGTTTTTAGAGTGTCAGACTCATGCATGAACAAAAGAATTCATGTGTCTTGCCTTTCTATCTCAACAGTTTAGTTAATGAAGCCAGCTTTCTACATAATTTCAGAAAAAAATCTTTTCTTTATGTTTTTTCAACAGTTACATAAGATCTCTCTTGCGGTAAGAGAGATAACATAACATCTATATACTTTCTTTCACAAAGATGGATCTGAAAAAGTTTTTGCCTCTCGTGCAAAAAAAAAAAAAATTTAAAAATTATGCTAACTATTTTCATAAGTTTATTTTAGATACCTGTAATGTTATACTGTTTGCTGACTAAAATTTAAGATATTGTCAATGAAAATCTGAAACAGTGTATTTTAGCAAGATAAAATGTGACAGGAAAAACGAGATGATATCAGACAAAAAAATGTGGACAGAACACCATCAAGTCGAACACAACACTTGCAGATTTTCAATGAGGATGTTATCTTGGATTTCCCTGACCAGAGACCTGGCTTGTATAGTATGTTGATATCATTTTCACCAATGTTTTACAGAGGACTTGCAGGCTATTATTCAAGCTTGTATGAAGTAGTATATAGTATATGTAATGCCTATTTCTCTTTTTGTGTTCAAGGAATGTATTCTTTGCAAATAAGTTGGTTTTGTGCTTAAGAAACAATCAGTTTAGATCTCATTAAGAAGTCCCACTGACGTTTTTTGATTGATACACTCATATAAGTGCTGATGCCTAAATCTGCCTATTAATAACCTAAAAGTGTTGCTAGCAGCGTTAAACCTATACCTTTTAATTTTTAGACTTAAATAAAGAGTCTTCAACTTAACTTTCTGAACTATTAATTTCAATGTTAGAAGTTCTTTGTCCCTCACCCAGAAAAAAAAACGCAGACTGAGTCTTATTGTGGCTTGTTATACTTTCTATGTCATCATGCAGATTTGACACAATCAGAAAGTAACTGGGTGAGTGTCTATCATGCTTTGGGTTTAAATCTCTTGGTAAGCAAACATGCACTTAAGGACCGGGGGATTCGATGGTGTCATAAAGCTTTTGCCTTGCGCTTGAAGGATATGAATTAGATTCCTGAATGAGGATGACATAATAATATTGTCAAGTATATTTATCTTTCTGCTTGAATGTGTCCCAAACAGTTAAGACTTGCACTGAGATGTAGTGTTGAAACAGCCCGCATCTAATAAATTATTTAAAAAGTGGTCACTTTTATGGGGGGGGGGGGGAGGGGGGGTATAACATTTACAGTCAATGAAAATGGATGATGAATGAGACATTGAAGGTGGGCACAGTAAGAATTTAAACTGCAGGTATTGCTGCTAGAAGATATTTGTAAATGCCTGATTCCATTTATTTTAGAGTTTTACATCCATCAGACTTCACATTAGAGGTTTTCATTGAGACTATGTTGCTTCCAGTTTTTCTTCTTTCATTGAGACTATGTTGCAACTGATTTGTCTTTCTCAAGACATTGAAGGTAGAATTTGCAGCTGCTTTGAAATAATACAATGACATATATATATATATATATGCAGACACTCTTTGTGTGTAAAGATTTTATGTGGACAGACTTTTCTTTGTCTGTGCATTGTAGCATGGGTAGGGGTTTAGAGTAGCAGCTAGAATTGTAGAACCTTAGTCTTATAAGTAATACTTTGATTTAAAAAACGAAAGATTTTATCTTGACTGTGTACTATGCATATGTTTACTTCAGAGTATTTGTACTGACTTGCTTATCAAAACACCTTACTCTTACTTTGCTTCTGGAACTAACGAAAGTAATCTAAAAAACGCGGAAATTGAAGAGTGCCATGCACTTGGAAGGTTGTCATGATTGGTTTACAAATACCTATCTTGTATGCTCCACACCGAAGATCGTCAATATCATGTGGGCATGCCTTTGTTTTCTCAAACCAAAGTGTAGATTTTTTTAAAAATGTACTTTTGTAGCATTTTTGTCTCAGAAGGTTAACTTTTTCTCATCTAACAACCTATTAATTTGTGTTTATATAAATTTAATTAAAGCCTTTTGGGCCTTTTCAAAATCAAACATGAGGCCTTTTCTCACTATGATCTTTACACTCCTAAATTCTGTCTCACAGCATTCTTCTCATTATGTGAATTTATTTTGGTAAGGCCTGGACTTGTGAGTAACAGAACAAGACTTGTGAGTCAATACAAAGTGGTTGGAGCAATTATGTCTGTGGGATGCTCATTTGTTGTGAGCCTTGTCTTCATTTATGTGTTAATTTGATCTGAAAAAAAAAAAAAACCTGTTGATTAGTCTAATGTTTCAATTTAACTATTGCATCAGTTTTGACCAATGTATCAGTTTTACCAATAATGTGTCAATTCATCCGGTTTGTCCATTATGTTTCATCTGTATTATTGATGATGGGACCATGTTTTAAAAAAAAAATGTTCAACTGCTTTTTTCAATCGTTAGCCCTCCTCTTTTCCTTTCTTTTAGTCCTCCTTTGCTTTCTTTTCTACTTTTTTAAATTGTTGTGGTGATTGTTGCTGGTAATTTATTTAATAATCTATTTGGGCTCTACATAACATAATTAGTTGTTGCACGTTCGACCAAAAATTTTGAAATTTTCTGAAAATATAGGTACATTTTCCTTTACATCTCTTACCCTTCTGCTTTCCACTTTTTCTTTTACTTTCTTAGAGGAGCAGGGAGATTGGATCACGCTGGTAGTAGTTCCTAAAGTCTTTCATACTACCTTTTACATTTACATCTGTTATCTCTCCTTTTTTAGATACATTTTGATTTTTTTTTCTTTCATCCTTGTGATTTATGACACCATGTATATTTTTTGTCTGTACTTAAAATACTTTCTCTTCAAAGTGATGAACAAAACTAGTAAATTATTGAATTTATGCTTGTTCTTTTTTTGTGAAGTTAACAAATAGATAAAATAAATGTTCATTTGTGTCATGACACGATGGAATCAGGAGCTTGCAAATTTTGGGGTATAGCGTGTAGCTGTTGGTGCAATCTAAAAGGTGGTTTATTTGCCTTGTGTTTAATGAC